GGTCCCTTCCAACTCTGCTATTGTATTGTATTGTATTGTATTGTATTGTATTGTATTGTATTGTATTGTATTGTATTGTATTGTATTGTATTGTAGTGTGTTTTGTGTGTGTGTGTGTGTGTGTGTGTGTTGAAGACTTAAGTAATCCTTGGCATTTATAATTCTTTGGTTTCATCAGCTACTTAAAGGATGTCTTCAGATCTTTGTTGCTCATAGATTTCAGTGTGAAAGTATATTATTTTAATTCTGTAAATCATTTTTGAGGAGCAGACTACAACTTCAATAATTCTTAAATACTATTAAAAGTCAAATACTGAAAGAGTTTAGCAGGCATATTGACTTTAGACCAACTCATGGATTAAGACAATTTTTTTAACATATCCTATGCACCAAGATAAATAAATCATTTATCAGATGTAAGTCACTGGCAATATTTACAATTACAGCATTTGCTAACATTATTTGGAAGAACAGCATTTTCAGTTTCTAAGACACTTGAGGTACTGTAACAGCTTGTTAAGTTCTTTAAACTTAAAAAACCTATTATTACTTTTTATATATAGTTATCAATAAATCAATTCAATAAGCAAAGGTTAAAAAAAGTGTAAAATAGAATTAGATATTCCTATATTATCTAGATAATGGGAGAGTGTCTTAATTTCTGTAGCAAGAATGTCAGTGGAAGTGGATCTCCGATTACAATTTATACAACAAAAACTATTTAGAATTTATTGGCTACATTTGTATAGAAAGGACGGTCAAAAATAGCATTTTATTGCAGATGTAGTAAAGGTAATCTTTTTTTAAAACAGATGTTTTTACAATGTCATAGCTACATTTTTGGGAGAAAGTAGTGGATTATATAAATATGATTGTGCAAGTAAAACCAAAATTCTCAGATTACATATCTAATCCATTGAATTTCAAAACTGGACAACAAATTGATTTTCTATGCTCTTACTAAGGGCAAAGACGAATATTGCAGTACTGGAAAGAGAAATTCATGTTCCTTTTTACTCAATGGATTGAAGACCCGATTGCACTTGCCATCTACGGTATATGGGGATTTCTCCTGAAGAAACTATCTTTGGATCCAGCCGTTCTAAACAACTATCGTCCAGTCTCCAACTTCCCCTTTGTGGGGAAGGTTGTTGAGAAGGTGGTGGCCTTTCAGCTCCAGCGGTCCTTGGAGGAAGCTAGTTATCTTGATCCATTCCAGTCTGGCTTCAGGCCTGGCTACAGCACAGAAACCGCTTTGGTCGCATTGATTGATGATCTCTGGAGAGCCAGGGATGCAGGCCATGCCTCCATCCTGGTACTCCTGGACCTCTTGGCGGCTTTCGATACCATCGACCATGGTATCCTTCTGCGATGACTGCGGGAGGTGGGGTTGGGAGGCACTGTTTTACGGTGGTTCTCCTCTTACCTCTCGGACAGGTCGCAGTCGGTGTTAGTTGGAGGGCAGAGATCGACCCCTAGGCCCCTAACATATGGGGTGCCACAGGGCTCGGTCCTGTCCCCCCTACTTTTTAATATCTACATGAAACCGCTGGGCGAGATCATTCGACGGCACAGGATAAAATACCACCAGTATGTGGACGATACACAGTTGTATCTGTCCGCCCCGTGCCAACTCAATGAAGCGATGGACGTGATGAGCCAGGGCCTTGAGGCTGTTAGAGACTGGATGGGGGTTAACAAGCTTGTGCTCAATCCGGATAAGACCGAGTGGCTGCTGTGCTTCCCTCCCACTAATTGGCCAAGTGTTCCATCTCTCAGGCTGGGGGGTCAAATACTACGCCCCTCAGACAGGGTCCACAACTTGGGAGTCCTCCTGGACCCACAGCTGACTTTTGAACACCATTTGTAAGCTGTGACCAGGGGGGCATTTGCCCAGGTTCGCCTGGTGCACCAGTTGCGTCCCTACCTGAACCGGGAGGCTCTCACAACAGTCACTCGTGCCCTTGTGACCTCTAGGCTGGAGTACTGCAATGTGCTCTACATGGGGCTGCCCTTGAAGAGTATTCGGCGACTGCAGCTAGTCCAGAATGCGGCCGCGCAAGCGATCGTGGGTGCACCTCGTTTCACCCACATAACACCTATCCTCCGCGAGCTGCACTGGCTACCTGTTGATCTCCGGGTACGCTTCAAGGTGCTAGTTGTCACCTACAAAGCCCTCCATGGTATTGGATCTGGGTACTTGAGAGACCGCCTACTGCCAATTACCTCCACTCGACCAATTAGATCCCACAGATTAGGCCTCCTCCAAGTTCCATCAGCCAGTCAATGTCGACTGGCAACCACGCGGAGGAGAGCCTTCTCTGTGGCAGCTCCGACCCTATGGAACGAACTCCCCGTGGAGATTCGTACCCTCACCACCCTCCAGACCTTCCGCATAGCCCTTAAAACCTGGCTGTCCCGACAGGCCTGGGGCTAAAGACCCTAACCCTCCCCGAATAGTATGAATGTTGTGCTTTTAACGATGTATTGTCTTATATGTAACTTGGTTTGTCCTCCCCTCCCCCTGAACTGTGAGCCACCCTGAGTCCCCCCAGGGAAAAGGGCGGCATACAAATAAAGTATCTTAAATCTTAAATTTCCTATAGATATAGGCTTTGCATGGACAAATATAATGAAATATTGGACTACTTTATACAGAATAAAGTAGGTTAAAACAATCATATAAATGTATCACAACGATATGTCTTCAATATTTACATTAGACAAGTATATAGAATTGTAACTGTTTATTGTTCTAAAAGACACATTACATTTTCGTATTTTTTCACTTTTTGTGAAAGTACTTTTTATGTGTGTGTTTTCTCTCTTTGACAATATATGTAACATTATCACTATTATTTTTGGGTACTGTATTGTCCTTTTTATTAATTCAAAAAGCAATAAAAATAAATACAACACCGTAGAAAACAGTTATGGTGATGTTTTTCAATGGATAAGGGGAGAAAGCAAATGGGCTATTACAAGAAGATTTGCCATGGCCAATTAGCTGACCAGCAGGAGGTTGACTTCCTAATTCCAACATAAAGGCAAAACAGAAATGTCAGTTAGAATTTCACAACTCATACATACTTGTTTTTGAATGTGCATGCAATCAAAGTGTCTAAGACAACAGTAATAAACTACTTAGTGGGGAGAACAGATCATCTTGGACCTATTTCACTTATGTCCACCACTCTTTTGAACTTGGCTCCGTTGATGACCCTGAAATCCAGGGATTACATTGATATCCCTGAAGTCAGGGTAATTTATCTATGGTAGGTGTCTTCAATCTTGGCAATTTTAAGCCTTGGTGGATTTCAACTTCCAGAATTCCCCAGCCAGCAAAGCTGGCTAGGGAATTCTGGGAGTTGAAGTCCACCAAGGCTTAAAGCTGCCACAGTTGGAGACCACTGGTCTATGGACCAGACAAATAATTAGAACTCTATCTTCATATGGAGAATGATATATCCAATGGTAACTGCAGTGGGCTACTGTCACTCCTTACAAAAACAAAATGTGCCATGATTAACGGGGGGGGGGGGGGAACACACACACACACCAAGACTTCCTGACCTCTCCCTCTTTCTCACATGCAAGCGCTCCATCAAAAACTACTCCTCCTCCAAACTTCCAGAGCAGCAAAGAAAAGGGTTTCTTATCTCATTTCATGAAGCAAGGACAGGCCTGCCTCAGCCAGTAGGTACCTTTTATTGCCCCTTCCCACATTCACCTATGATGGCCAAATATGGCTTTTTCAGGCTCCTGCCTCCGTGTGTGCATTTTTTCCAATGAGACAAACTGAGACAGGAAGATCATTTTATTACAATTTATCAGAATATTCAGACAAAAGGGATTCCTCAAAGAGGGAACCCCAATCTTTATCTTACATCCCCTTTTACAGTCAACATAACAAAGAAACCTGAAAGAGGAAAGTTGATTGGATAGGGTAACAGCATACATGTTTATTAAAATGAGGTCTGAGGGGGAATAAATTGTAAGGAGAAAGGTTGTTTAGGGTTCACAAGAGATAAGCCAGACCCCAATTTGTACTAACAAACTTTTCTTCTCAGGATTCTAGTCTCTAGCTTGTTCATCAGTTTAGGAACGTTAAAAGCTAATAAATCTTGAACATCACTTTAAAATAAAGAATATAAATCAGATTAAAATACAAAGTGACTATGTTAGTTGGCAAATAATAAAACCCATGTTATTTGCCCCTCACCTACCAACCAAGCCAGGCCGAATACAGCCCCAAGTCTTCGAAAACCACACCTAGGAAAACAGCCACCTGCTCTCTCACCCGGCGAAGCCCAACCTCGCCCGCCGCCTCCGTCCACCCCCGCCTTTCTTAAGCTTTCGAGCCGCAGGACAGCCCGGCTTTTCTCTCCCGTCTCCTGCCCCTTCCTCAAGCCGCGAAGGGAGACGAAGACGGGGAGGGCAGAGCTCTCTCTCCTTCCTGGCCTTGTCTGTCCCCCACCCCTCGCCCGGCTTCTCGCCCGTCCCTTCAGGACGAAGTTCCTCTCTTTCCCCAACCGCTCGGGCAGGAAACACCAGAGCAGCTGCCAACCGCCGCCGCTTCACGGAAGTCAGCGCAGGCGAGAGGGGCGAGAGCCTCCGGTCCAACCTTCACCAACTCCTGCTTGACGGCAGAGCGGCTCCCTCAGCTCCGCTCTTCTCCCTAGTCCCGAGAGAGTCACCTGGGGACGAAGGGACGCGCCACTCCAGTCTGCCGCAGGCTGCTCACCTGCATAGACGCCATGATGGATCCGCCTCCCCACACGGTCCGCTTTCGGCGCCGCCGGCCGGGACCGGGAGAGACGTAGGGCGACGGCGGCGGCGGCGGCGGCGGCAGGAACGCCGGCACTCTTCCTCGGTCGCTTCCTTCTCCTCCTCGCCTCTCCCCCCAACCCCCTACGGGTCACGTGGGAACTCCGGCCATCCCGTGGAAAGCGCGCATGCGCCCCGAAGCCCTGCCGTAGTCGGTGCCAGGTGGGCACGGGACGTCTTCGAGCGGGTTGTTAAAATTCTGGCCTTCCTTAAAAAAAAAAAAGATTCAAAAGCCAACCGTAGCTCCTCTCGTTACGGCGTCAGAACTCAGTAAGGCCGTAGGCCACGTGCGTGCTATGCTGGCTTCCGGAGTGTAGGGTGCCAGGCGGTTTATTAAAAAATAGGTGTGTATATCTTCGTGGACGCACCAGACATCGCATGCCCTTTAAGTGTTTTCTCCGACTACAGCCTTGCATCTGGAAGGAGTGTCCAAAAAACCTCACCGAGGGGGTGAGGTCACCCATTGTAGGGCTCGACTTAGTAAGCTTGGAGGAGAAGCAAACGCATTTTGGTTGCCACCTGGAATCTCGTCCATATCTCCAGCAATGACATCACAAGTGACCTACGTTTCAGATACAGCATATAGTTAGATAGACCTACCTTCAAAATATGTGCTTACATTTGACAGGCTATAAAAATAGCTTTCCGTTTATTCTAGACAAAATATATTATCACAGAATAGAAATAATTAGCTTAGATAATGTATAGGAAATGACAACATGCCATAATAAATAACTTTGTTTTCTGGTAGTGCCTAGTTTTTCGTTATTCAAGGAAGGTATAATCTACAAGTAAGTAAAATCTTTCAAATATACCTGGACAAGGAATTTGAAATCATAATGTTTTTGTCAGAAATAAATACATGATTTTAACAATTCATTAAAGCTTTGAAGTACAGAACATTTGCTAATGGGGCACATGATATACAAAAACATAGGTTAATATGGATCTTGAACTTGACATTTTTAAAAAAAAGCATTTGCCATAATCTTTATTGAAATTCCACTGGCTAATGGAGTAATTTTGTGTAGTGATTAAGGCATTGGGGAGATTGAGTTCTAGTTCCACCTTGAGTATGAAACTAGCTGGATGATCTTGGGTCAGTCATTCTCAGCCCTAGAAAGTAGGCAACGGCAAACAATTTCTGGGAAAAAAATAGCTAAGAAAACAGCAGGGTCTAGCCTTTGTACTAGGTATGGGAATCAGTACAAGTTCTCTTAAGTTTTCACGTTCTGCAAACTGTTATTCATTGTTAGGTTTGGAATACAAGAATTGCTAAATCCCATTTTCCTTTTCAAGTTTTAAAAAAATGTTTGATTTCATTTTTTTACAAATAAGATACCTTATAGCTTGTATACTAATATGCATTCAAAATGTCCATTTCACTCTTTTAAGTAAATCAATAACATAACATACAGCTCATAATTGTTTTCCTTAGAACTAAAGTGCCATTAATGATGGTGCAATATATTGCTAACATGTTAATAAAATATGATTTTCAAACTTATTTTGATATATAGACATTAAATGTATGGCCAGGCAGTCAGCTTGCGGTTACCATTGACTCAAAGGCACTAAAAAGTCTATCTGAAGGAAACAATTAAAACGGAGTGTTCGGAAGCATAATTAATTTTAAATATCTATTAAATTACCTTATTTAATACTAATCTACAACTAATCCTGTAAGCATATAATTAACATATACTGTCACTACACACTGAGTAAAGTCTAATAACAATAGACTAAATTTGGAAAATAGTATGTTTCATGAGACAATATGTGGTTCCACTTCAGTATGGGAATACATCCCTATGAATGTTTTAAGTGGAATAGTTTTTCAGTGTAAAGTATGTAGAAATAACACTTAGCTTTGTATGTGTAGAGACAGCTTCCTATCAGCTGTAGACCTGGATGGTTCAAATTTTACCAATTTCACATTTCATAAATAAATGAATATTTGAACATCTTACACAATTAACATATTTCTGTATTTCCCTCACAGCATAGTTGTTCATACCTCTTACCCAATGTAATGGAAGATTTATATTCACATTCTTTTGTTGGGCCAGTTGTATGGCAACTAACATTTGCAGTAACAGGAGACCACCTCACTATGAGCAGTATACCTTAACAGATTTATTCCAGTTTCTCCTATCTTCAACGTATGCAAAACTAGAAACTGCTACTGGGAGCATTTGGAAACAAAACTGAATGATTTACTTTTTGTTTTCACTATGCACCTTCCTCATTTTTCAAAAAGAGAAAGAATAATCCTGAAATAAAACACATTACACTATACTTTCTGAATACATGGACAAGTGAACAATATTCAGAATAGATTTTAAAAAAAACTTAACTTGTGTATGACAAATAGAACAGGAATATTGGCCTGGAAAATCAATAAATCAAGAACAAAGGGATTAATGTAAGGTTCTAGACCAAATTGTGCCAGAAGGTACTGTTATTGAAAATATCTACTTGGACTGTAAGTAGTATTTGCTTATGTTTACTTGCATCAGTTCTAAATGGGGAACTAGTATACGCAAGAGTTGAATGTTAAGTTCAACTAGAAAAGCTGGATCTCTAGATTTTCCCCCACCCAATATCATGCCTTGTCTTGGCCTGAATAAATACATTATGAAAAGTATATAAAATTAAGGCAAAGCATATTTATCAAGATCTTTTACTTGACCATGCAATTAATATAATTGATGTAAAAGTCAGCAGACAAGAAACAGGGAGATTGTAATTTCTAGTTTTGACTTAGGCATGAAGCCATTCAGTTGGGTGATCTTGGGCCAGATATACTCTCAACCCTAAGAAGGCAGCACTGGTAAGCCACTTCTTAAATATTCCAAGAAAATTGCAGAGACTAGTCTAGGTAGTCACCAGGAATCAAAACTAACTCAAAAGACAACAAAAAAAGAAAAAGAAAAAAAAGCTTTATTCCACAAGTAAGGTCCCTCTAAAAAATTAAGTATTTAAAGCAATCTTTCATAACTCCCCACCCCATTTTTTTAAAAAACTGAGCAGATGCCCTAGTTTGAACTCACATCAAATCTGTGGAGCTTTACTAGTAGTTTCTTTTTACCTGATTGCATATAAATTTATTATACTTTTTAATTCAAAACTATTTTATATAATGCTTATTAAACAGAAGTTTTCAAAAAAAAAAAAAAGTATTGAGGCTGAACTAGCCTGGTGCAGTTGGAATGGTCTGATTCATGGTCAGAATAGGATAGTAGAAAGTTCTTTGAAACATCCTCATACCACTGTAGCCAATCAGCAATATCCAAAATGAACTTAACAAAACTTATTGTAACCAGTTCTCAAACACAACAAAAACAATGGATAAAAATAGTATTTAACTCATACTCTATACTTTCCAGAGATTATGTATAAACTGCTACATAAAATAATGCCCTAAGCTATATTGTTCCGTAACATGTGCCTAGTTGGTTCAATCTGGCAGGATTGGCATATCCCAGGCTCCATTGATTAATGCTGTATTTTGGGACCCTGAAAGTATGTCTTATGTAGCAGCATCTATACTCTGAAATAAGGTTCCTCCCAAGATCTGAACAGCCTCACCCTAATGAGATTTCAAAAGGCCTTAATGATGTTGATCTTCATTAGGGATTTGGTGAGGATGGTTGATGCATGTTTTTTCCTTCCCTTGTATCCATCCAAGTTTGTTTTCTCTGTTAATTTCTTTGATTTTTATTTTTTGTACTGTATTGTTATGTGTTTTTAACAATTTGTAAACCATCCAGAATTGCTGGGAGTCAGATGGCATATGGATTTAATAAATTATTATTTACTGCAAATAATGAAGTCCAGTTATGATTGAAAATCTTATTATTCAGGATGAGGTTTGCTCATGTTAAATTGAGATGTGTCATTCTATCACAGTCCTCTATTTTACATTTGACAGTATAGCTGGGAATCATCATTTTATAAAGCCTATAGATAAATTTATAAAGATTACTAAAAGTAAAGAAGAACTGGAAGTATGGGAAAAGCCATAATAGATTACTGTGTAAATGTAATGCCTACCAAGATTGAACATACAAGTAAAGTATTGCAACAAATGTGTTATAAGCATAGTTATATACCATTTTTACAATTACAACATAAGTCCATTTTATTATTAGCACAATCTGAGAATATGCTAACATAAAATTCCATCCTCCACTCCTCCCCAACACATTTGTAGCATACCCCAATATTGAGCATTCCAAGTGAGGAAGTCTGATTCATCCCCGGAGGGGATTCCATCTTTAACTCTGAACTGTTCTCAGAAAGAAGTAATTTCAGCAAATTCATAGCGGTGATAACATAATTATTTTTTTTGCTGAAGGATAAGGCAAAGGTCATGCATAACTTGGCATGTTTATTTATCAATTGGTAAGAAGTCCGTACTTGTGTAGGCAGCAAAACAAAATTGAGCATGAATGTTTCCTATGCAAAACCACTGTGAGAAATATCCTTCACAGTGATGAGTACAGTTCTTGGCCAAACATATAAAACATGCTATACGAAAAAGTTGCTAACTAAACATATGTATTAAATACTGGAAGGGAAGGGGGGTGGTTTACATTTTTATTATAATTTATTCTATTTAACAATCTAAGAAGTTTGCAGCCATCAGCAGTTCCAGTGCAATCTCAGGTGCAATTGGAAATTCAGGAATCTCTGTGGAGCTGTTAGTGTAGCGAACCTTATAGGTGAAATACATGCATACTTTAGATAGGACGTGAGAAGGAATCTCTCTGAAATTCACTTCGTTTGTTTCATTTTCAGCAAACTGCCCTGTGCACATAAAAAACAAAGATAACTCATCAGTATTTTTTTGACAAAGGCTTAATTCAGAAGTATGTGTGTGTTGTATTTGTATGAATATACATATAATTTAATGAAACCACTGGTACTTGAACTTCTGCATTTTAGATTTGTTGTCTTCTTTATCTTTTATAATTATTTAAATTTGATCAACCTGAACAAATTCAGAATGAGTTTTCAGATATAATCATTTGACCTTAGGAATTTTTTTAATAAAGCCTGTCAAGCCAATCCTTATTGCAACTTGTTTTAATTGTACCATTGG